TAGCTTAGCAGTGGCACATGGGCGTTTCATGACAGTGTTGATCTTCTCAGCTCTGTTTGTCTAGCCAGGGAATTCTGAGGTTGCTACTGCATCAAGCACTGTGTCAGCTTTCTCTCCTTGCAACAATAAAAGACATCTGATTTCACAGTTCCTGGCTGTTCAAATGCCATCGGAACCCTGGCATCCTCATGAGTCCAGCCTAGAAAGCACCAGAGGAAAATGATATGTTAAGCCTTGTGGGGGGACACAGGCTAAGCTCAACGGGACCTTAGAGAAGAACTGTGTGGGGACAGCAGCTTTAAAAATGCCCAAGGGAGGTGGGATTTCAGCCTTCAAAAAAAGGGAAAAGGTAAGAAGGAAGAGTCGTCCCGGATAGAGGGAGGAAGAGTGGATTGTTAGGGGAAGAAATCAGAGATAACGGAGGGAACGAGAAATGTAGTAAAGCCAAGTCATGTGGCCAAATGTGATGTTGGAAGACAGATCCTTTAAGGGAGAATTCTATTTTTGACCATCTTCTAGATTAGGTAGACTACATATTCAGCCTCAAAACTAAACTTCTGACGTCTTCTGCTCAGACGTTCTAGATTTTAAAAAGTAGCTGATTGTGTAGTAGGCGATGTTTTAGTAGGCTCCATATTTCCATCCCTGGGAGAGTAAACTAGGTTAACAAATCATGCACAACGTGCAATACAGAACTCTACTTGATTTGTCTGCATTCCATTAACGTCCAGAACCAGGCAGTCGATCCAAAAAAACCTTCGTGTTATCGACTGTGTTCTAGAACATTCATGATAGGTACCCTCTCTAGAGGCCCTAACTTCTTATTCTGTACAAATGGCTCAGTGCTTTGTCTAAAGTCATCAGCAAGGATCCAGAGCCAAGCATTCTCTTTCCAAGCGACGCTGGTGTGTTGGGGACAGCTCAGGTCATGGGCAGGGCTCTGTGTTCTACAGGAGGCTAAGTATGTTCACATACTTCATGAGCATCGTCCCTCCCTGTGCTTTCACCTTACAGGATGGTGGGTTTTAACTCCACCTTCTCTTTTACAACTTTATATAAAACAGCTCACATGAACTGCCGGTGAGAGTTGAAATTAATTGCATTTCCTCTGTGTCCTCTGTGATGTGTGAAAACAGCCTTTTCCGGCTTCTGCAGGACCAAGCTGCAGTGTTCTGTAATTCTTCCATCTCTGTATTTTTGGTAACATCTCAAGACCCAGTTACTCTTGGGTCATAAGAGAATGTCCTTATGGTAACCTGGTAGTCTGAGTCATTTATCTGGAACTTTATTAGAGGAGACAATACAGATGCAAACAGAATTTACAGGAGACCTCTAACTGCTTCTAGGTACTTTTAAGGTGACACTGATTTGTTAGTTAAATTATAGCTTTCTTCCAAATGTTGGATATGATTCCTCGCTGCAGATCCACCAAGGAGCTGGTTGTCTTTTTTCATTTTGGCTTTTCTTTCTTCTCCCTGTCTTCCACTTCATCCCTCCCTCTTCTTTCCCTTCAAAGAATGATTAAAAAAAAATCATCTAAGATTTGAGGGCAATGGTAATTTTTTAAAATAAGGAAATGAACTTGAAACATAGATATGCATTATTGGGAAGCAAAGGAGAATGAATGAGAATTAACTGAGTTTTGCAGGTAAGAGAGCAAAGACATGTGGCCTGGTTAGGACACAGACACCTGAGATAGTGAAATATGAATGAGCCTGAGGTACAGAGAGCCTTGTGGTGGACATTTCCTCATGCCTGGCAGCACCCTGGCAGCTTGGCTCTTAGTCGCCTGGGTGAGTAAGTGAAGAAAAGGACAGTGAACAGTCAGACATCCTATAGACAGGATATTTGCTAGACAGATGCTTACGACCGTTAAATCCCTAGTGGAACAAGAGCATGGGTACGCAAATAATTAGATTTATCTTGGGTTTGTCCCTATGCATTGAAAAGAAAATGTGGGATTTTCCTTTTTAGACACAGAGGATAACTTAGATGCCAACATCGTGACTCATGAACTGGCCTTGAGAACTGATTTTGAGAATTTCGCTTCAGAAAATCAGCTGAAAGTGAATTAAAATTTATCTTTTTTCCTTTCTTTTTTCCTTCCTTCCTTTCTTATGCCTTTTCTTTGAGACAGACGTACATTCTAAATCTTCTTTGGCTTTCTAGGAAGAAGGAGTGGAAAGACAAGTTATTTGATAAAGATAATAAAGGACACTGAGCTGAAGCAGAACAGGGCGTTTGCGAACTGAACTCTAGGGTACACAGAGAATAGAAGATGACTGTTGGCAGTGGAAGATGACCTTCCTGCCTGGCTGGGTGGGGGGACTGTTTTATCAGCCAGCAGTTCTGTGTCATCCTCTCCTTCCACACAGGACTTACCCTGTTGGTGTCCCTGGGTCAGCAGTAAGTCCTTCCTATATCTCTTCTCACCGACACCACACATCTTTCTAGAATCCTCATTGTGCCTTTACCAGGAGTTTCCCAGCCCACGCTGGTCATGCAGGCCTGTAGTCCCAGCTATGGAGGAGTTTGAGGCAGGAGGATCCCAAGTTCAAGGCATGCCTGGGTTACAGAGTGAGTTTGAGGCCAGTCTGGACATCTGAATCAAAATAGCCTGTCTCAAAAAATTTAAAAAGATGTCTAGGGGTATAGCCCAGTGGTAGAGTGCTTGCCTAGAATGTATGAGATTCTAAATTCAGTCTCCGTTATTGGGATGGGGAATGGGATATGGTTCACAGTTCCTCTGCTTATTCCGAGGAAGTTCCCAGACCAGGAAGCAGCAAGGATCTAGGCAGCCTGATAGGTAGACGGTAGAAGCTCTGAGCAATGTGAATGGAAAGAATTCTGAACACTTGAAGTAACCAATACACCTCATAGTAGTTGGGGGCAGGGGGTGGCGTTTCCCACTTGACTTTGTGTTGGTAGAATCCACGGGTGTTCAGGCGAGTCTTACAATAGAACCATTCCTGTGGGGCTTTGCTACGTGAGCGGCAGCTTTGCCCCACCCCCACCCCCAGCTCTGGTATGTTCTTCCCAGAACAACCTCTGGAGATCCCTTGAGGTGTGAGTCAGGCCGACCCAGCCTGTCTAGAAAGGACAGAGCAGCAGGGGAGACCCTCCCAGAGGTGGGAGAAAGGCCTTCAAAGGCCAGCCAGATCCGGTTGTGTGGCGTCCAAGCCTTGGGGTCTCAGAAGCCAAGAGGAAGCTAGGGAGAGGGCAGGTCCCACAGTCTACATCAGGGCATTCAACTAGGAAACGTCTGAGACAAGGCCAGAAACATACATATAAACACAGCCTAGCTCTGTTCCCCGTGCCCACCCTTGCGACAAAAAGGCCAGTACTCCTAGGTGTATGCTTCCTACCAGGGCCCATGATTCCTAGAGAAGGAAGCATGAAATATATTTAGAGCTTTCGAAACCGTAATTGTTTTGTACATTCTTACAAAGGGAGAAAAATTAAAAACATCCCAAGAGATTTTTTTTTTTTTTTTTTTTTTTACGTTTCTAATCCTTGAGATGAGTGAGAAAATCTTGCATACCAGGGTCATTTCCTTGCAGTCTCAAGACATTAATATGCACTGGAAATAGAAGGAAGGGAGATTCCATGTCCTGTGAATGCTGATTGTGCAAGAAAGCTTTCCAGGCCAAGAGAGGAAGGTTGCGCCTTTCCCAGGACCCCGGTGCAAGATGACCCTGAAGTTAGATTTAACTAGGCTTGAAGTCCCATACAGAGTGGATAATTAACTTACTCATTCCAGAAGTAGGGCTAAAAATCCAGGGGGCGGAGTCTAGCAAGGCTAAACATCCAGGGGGCGAGTCTAGCTCTGCAGCCACAGCTCCTGTGGGAACCCAGGTTCCCAGCTCTGTGTCTCCCTCTAAGGTGCACTGTTCCAAGTCTCTCTGAAAGGGCCCTGGTGGCTGAAACCTGGCATTCAAACTCGGTAGATGGGAAATAGTAATTGCTCCACTAAAAAGGAGGTGTGTGGGCTGGAGAGGTGGCTCCGTGGGTAGAGCCCTGCCTGAGGACGTGAGTTGAGACCTCTGTCACCCATACACAGGCTGGTTCAGCACCAGCCGGTCCCAGATAGGCAGGCCCAGCAAAAAGGATGCCCGCCATGGGCCGATTCTGAGTAAGGGCTTTTGTAGTCATGGGAGCTGCAGAAGAAAGGGTAATTGATTACTGAGTTCCAGAACCCGGAGGATGGAGAGGTATCATCTGGCCCCTCTTGACTAGCCCCCAGACCTGCTCACTCTCTTCAGCATGTGCCTTCCCTGTACCAATGCTCCCTGCTGGGAACCCAGCCACTGAGAACCCTGGAACTGCCCCTTTCTGCCCTCTCTCTGGGGGGTTGGTCCCAGCCGAAGGCAGCTACTACTTTGAGCATCTGCCTCCTCCACTAGCAGAAAGACCCTCCCACTGCCCTCCCTGACACCCAGGCCCCTTCTGTACCTCCCGCCAATCCCCAGGACTGGTCCCCTTGAATCTTACACAAACAAGATTGCCTGGGTGCCCTCAGGGCTTTTTCAAATAACCTCCTAGATATTTTTTCCCCTACTGTTATAACAAGGAGTGGTTGTCTGTCAGCACTATCCTCCAAATAAAGATGCCGGTAAACAACGGAAGGGAAACATCAGGCAGTTCAGAACTGAAATTTCTCTGTGTTAATGGAAAACTCCCAGCTAATGCAAAACAGCTGGTAAAATAAAACTCGTTTAAGCTTGGCTGGGGAAAAGAAGACAATTTAGTCAACAACAGATTTTTCCTGCTAATTGTGTTTGTTGTTGTGTGTGCTGGTTTGCTTATTTCAATTCTTGCCTTCCCTAAAAAGAGTGTACTGTCTCGCTGGCGACAGGAAGAAGCCTGCTCGGCTGGCCTTTGAGATGCCTCTGATTATCCACAGAGGAGCGAGCCTCATAAACACGTACTTGCCTGCTAGGCTGCTGACCGCTGCTGAGCTACCAAACGCTGGACTTGCCTTGTCTTGCCTTCTCTTGTAGGTCCTTCCATAGTGACACCCCCCAAGGACATCTGGAATGTCACAGGCGCCAAGGTGTACCTGAGCTGCGAAGTCATCGGAATCCCAACCCCTGTCCTCATCTGGAACAAGGTTAGTAGTGTGGGATTCAGAACACGTCGTGCAACCTGCAAAGCTTCTCTTGCGTGGCCCAGGGCGGTAGGAAGGCGCCATTCAGCCGCTCTGCTGCCTGCCTCTGAGGAGGTGAAGCCTGTGGCAACTGATGCCGCCTCTGCAGCACCAAGCAGGGAGCCCTGGGAACTCAAAGACTCATGATGAACACCTAAAGCCTCCGTTCTAGCTCGCTGTGCATTGCTGTGACCGGAACACCTGGCAGAAACTTTCAAGGGAGGAAAGGTTTATTGGCGCCTCCAGGTTCAGAGGGTCACAGTCTACACAGCAGGAAAGGCATGGTGCCAACACTCAGTCCATGGTGGCAGGGCCACATATGAGGGTCTATAAAGTGAAGGGAAAAAAAATCCTCAAGCTCATGCCAAAAGAGGAAAGTTAGCTTAAGTAAAACAGCAAAGCCACACACCCCTTACACACCCCTTTTTAGCTAGTTTGCTTCTTCAGCAAGCTCAAAAATGGACGACAGTCTCAATATTTTCTGTGCTTGTTGCTTGGTCCGTGGGGCTGGGACTCTGGGACTCTGCTTGGGTTTTTGGCCCCTTGGTCAGAAGCCTCTCCTGTAACAGGTTGTAGAAATTCAGTTCATATAGCCGAGGGGAAAAGAAAGAAAGAAAGAAAGAAAGAAAGAAAGAAAGAAAGAAAGAAAGAAAGAAAGAAAGAAAGAAAGAAAGAAAGAAGGAAAGAGGGAGGGAGGGAGGGAGGGAGGGAGGAAGGAAGGAAGGAAGGAAGGAAGGAAGGAAGGAAGGAAGGAAGGAAGGAAGGAAGGAAGGAAGGAAGGGAAGGAAGGAAGAGAGAAAGAGAGAAAGAGAGAAAGAGAGAAAAGAAAAATAAGGTAATTCCTGCCTCCGGGCACCCAAAAGTGATCAGGACTGGAATTCTCGATCTCTTTCTCAACCTGTCGGCCTCACTTTCTCCTTCAGAAAGCTTCCTCCGCAGAGGGCGGAATTTCCATCACAGCTTAAAGACCTCAAAGGCAGCAAAGTTTTCCCAGCTGCCTGGTGAGAACGGATGGGGGCTCCCGGCAGCCTCTAGCGCCCCCGTGTGGCCAGAGGGAGGCGGCCACTACGAAACCACCAGGAAACGCCTGGACCACGGTGTGGGCAGAGGTGACCCAGTTCTCCTACAGCAGACCGATGACCCAGTTCTATCTAGTACAACTGTCCTTCACAGATGAAATGGAATAGTGGAATTTTGCCAGTGTAAATTGTGCTTAGGAAAGAGACATGGAAAGGGAGCAAGGCATGGCAGCTAAGTGTTCACCTAAGCCTTTCCCCAGACAGCTATTTGAGCTCAGTGGCTTGTGAGGAGCAGGCGAGGGGCCGCTAGTTTGCAAGGAAAACCGGCAAGAAGCTCTTTGCTTCTTTATGGGACCCCAACGAGTTTATAAAACGAGACGCCAGAGTGACTCAAGGAGGACCCTAACTTTGTACCCTTATTGCCAAATCTTGCAGAGAAGAAGGTTTTCAAGCCTGGCTGTGTGACTACTTCATCTTTGAAGTTTTTGGTGTCTCCATAGGGCAGGTCCCTAGGAACAGAGGTGGGAGCTAGGGGTTAGAGACGGGAACTGAAACAAAGGTTTCCAGTTCTTGAGTCCTTGTTTGTTGTTTGTTTTTGCAATGCATGCTAGACAGGAGCTCTAAGGCTGTGGCCTCTGTGGGTGGAACCACACTCGGATGGTAGAGTGCTTGCCTAGCATGTATGAGGCCCTGGGTCTCATCCCTAGCATGACCTGTCCAGGCCATGGTGGCACATGGCTTGTCGTCCCAGCTCTCAAGAGGTAAAGACAGAAAGACTCTACCTAGCAGTGTTTCAAAGCAGATACTAAGACTCATAACCAAACCTTCGGCAGAGTGCAGGGAATCATATGAAAGAAGCAGGAGTTAGTATGACGTAGAGAGGATAGGAGCTCCACAAGGACCAAATATATCTGGGCACAGGGGTCTTTTCTGAGACTGACACTCCACCAGGACCATGTATGGATATAACCTAGAACCTCTGCTCGGATGTGGCCCGTGGTAGCTCAGTAACCAATTGGTTTCCCATAGTGAGGGGAACAAGGACTATTTCTGACAGGAACTCAATGGCAGGCTCTTTGACATCCCCAACCTCCAAGGGAGGAGCAGTCCTGCTAGGCCACAGAGGAGGACTTTGCAGCCAGTCCTGAAGATACCTGATAAACTAGGGTCAGATGAAAGGGGAGGAGGTCCTCCCCAATCAGCAGACTTGGAAAGGGGCAGGGAGGAGATGAGGGAGGGAGGGTGGGATTGGGAGGGAATAAGGGAGTGGGATACAGCTGGGATACAGAGTTAATAAAATGTAACTAATAATAAAAAATTTAATTAAATTAAAAAAAAAAAAAGACAGGAAGATCACCAGAAGTTCAGAGTATCCTCAGCCAGTTTAAGTTTAAGGCCAGCCACTTGCTATCAAGTGTTTTCATAAGAAAATGTGTCAAGGCATCACATTTCCTACTTATTAATGTGCCATATAATACTTTCATATGTCCCAAATCACAATGTATTTTAAAAAGCATCACACTGTTTGGGCCACAGCAAAATACCTGAAAAGCCGCTGATCCAGATGGTTACATAGGCCATTGGCGTCCTCTCCACAACTCTGCATCCAGACTGTTAGGAACACAGGCGGACCGCATGCGCTTTCAAATCTGCTTTAAGAACAAAAACAGAGTTTGGATAAAACAGTGTTAGAGGCTGGACAATGCGATGGCAACACTTATAAGCCCAACAGTCTGGGAAGAAGCCGGAGAGTTGAGAGTGCAAGGACTGTGTGGATCAGTGCTTCCAGCACCCACATCAGGCACCCCACAACTGCCTCTGACACCACTCCAGGAGACCCTTTTCTGGAAGAATCTGTTACAACCAAACTACACTCAGAGCCAGGTGTCATGGTATGTGTTCTGGGGAGGTTGAGACAGGAGGATGGTGAGTCTGAAGCTAACCTGATCTGTATATCAAGAGACCCTACAAAACAGATGAAAATAGCTAGATGGCTAAGTGACTTCTGCTCTCTCTTCCCCAGTTGGCCATTTGTGATAACCTTTTTGTTTTGTTTTGTTTTTTGTCACAGGACAACGGCGCTGGTGGCGCCAGCACACGCCTTTAATCTCAGCACTTGGGAGGCAAAGGCAGGTGGATCTGGGAGTTTCAGGACAGCCTGGTCTTCAGAGCAAGTTCCGGGACACCAGGGCTACACAGAGAAAAACTCTGTCTCTAATAATAATAATAATTCCTTTTGTCAGGGTGTGTGGAGTGTGTGTGTGTGTGTGTGTGTGTGTGTGTGTGTGTGCGTGTGTGCGTGCGTGCGCGCACTCCCGTGCCTGCACGTGTGTGCATGCTAACCTGGATAGCCAGCTAGCATCAAGGATCCACTGGTCTTTGCCTACACTGTGCTGAGATTACAGGCTCTGCTGATACATAAGAACACTAATCAGAGTGCTTTAACCTTTGAGTCAAATACTTCTCTCAAAATATCACCTATTTTATTAACATAAATTGTTTCACCAGCTGCTTGGGAAATTCAAGGGGGAAAAAGGCCTATTTATGCATGTCTTCCTAGCTTTCATTTGAGACACTAAATACCTGGTTTTCTCTCAGTATTGGGAAAAGCCTAGAAAAAAAATGAGCCTAACATCTGCTTTATTATAGAAGGAAAAGAAAACTCCTGACACTGTTAGGCCTTTTCATAACAAAGACGCTCAAAATAAGCACTGGCTTGGCTCTTACAGAGGCCTAGATAGAATGAAAGAAAACTGTCTCATGTAGTTTTTAAATAAATTGTTATTACAAGCCTTAAAATATTTGTACTGAAACTGAGCTACTATATCTATACCAAAACAAACAAAAAAACTTTTCCTTGTGTTCTTTACATATTTTCCTAAGTTGTTATTAACATACTTTGATCTTTAAGATAGGCGGGGAAGGACAGACACGAAGTAAGGACTGGACATGAACCAAGGGAGGTGAATTTCCCTTTCACCCACAGGCTTCTGAATCTCCTCATGGTATGAACGGAGACATGGCAGGTTTTCTGTCAGAACAGCAGCATGTGATGGGCATGTCTGATCTCAGGTTTTCAGCAACTGTTTAATGATTCCTTAGCCCTCGGAGCAGGTGGGAGACTTGGCTCTGGATTCCAGCCGCTGCTTTTCTTTGATGAGGTTGTTACAGGAAGAGCTCCCAACAAGGTCTCAAACATCAAACTAGCATTTTGTGACAGCTTGCCAGTGAAACATGGCATGTCGGACAAAGAAAGGCCCAAGGTACCAAGGACCTTGGTACCAAGGACCAAACTGTCCAAGGGCAGTTAGTGAAGGCAGCTTGCAGGATGACCATGCTCACACACTCCATAAGTTTTCCAAAAAATGCTTAAAACATACTGTTTAAAAGCCAGGTGTGGTGGTATACACCATTAATCTCAGCACTTGGGAGAAAGAGGCAAACAGATCTTCCTGGTCTATACAGAGAGTTCCAGGCAGCAAGGCTACAAAGTAAGACCCAACCTCAAAAATAAAAAATAAAAAAAAAATAAACACATTCATTAGATAAACTTGGCAGGAAGAAACAATTCTGCTTGCTAAATATTCAGAAAAGGAAGTAAATCTGAGTAAATTGCTGGATAGGATCTAATTACCAAGTCTGGTGAGCAATGCCTGCAACTTGATGGTTTCTCGGAGAGAACTAAGACTCTCCTTTTGTTTTCCCAGGTAAAAAGGGATCGCTCTGGAGTTCAGAGGACAGAACTCTTGCCTGGTGACCGGGAAAACCTGGCCATTCAGACCCGAGGTGGTCCAGAAAAGCATGAAGTAACTGGCTGGGTGCTGGTAAGCTGGCAATGGTTTTCACCTTCAGGTGTGGACACAAGGGTTTGGCAAAGGTGACTGACTGGCTGCCTGCCTAAAATTTTTTTTTCTCCTATTTCTTCGGAGCAGCCTGGCATGTGTTGCAGATAGGACTAATATGAGGGAGCTGAAGTTACTTTGTTTTAGGGAAAAAAAAAAAATGCATGAAGAGGATTCTGTTTGCTTAGGCTCAGAGCAGAATCCTCACACAGAACGGAATGCGTTAGGCATTGCAGTTATTGGTTAAACACATGTGGTTTTGCTTGACCACAAATGTTTTGTTTTGATTCTGCGGGTATTCGATCACAGCACCTACCAAGGCTTCCCCTCCAGCAGGTGTGAGCACCCAGCCGAATTTTAACTTTCATGTTGTGATCAACAGACGCGCATGACATTGGAATACGGTAGCCCTGGCATCGGGCTTCACTGCCTCTAATAGCAGCTCCACTCCCAACCCTCAGCTCGTCATGGAAGCCCTAGGTGTAATGGAAGTCCCTGAAAAGGAGAGGTGACCTCCTCAGAGAACTACAGAGCCCTTCTGTTTCACAGGTATCTCCTCTAAGTAAGGAAGATGCTGGAGAGTATGAGTGCCATGCATCCAATTCCCAAGGAGAGGCTTCAGCATCAGCCAAAATCACCGTGGTTGATGCCTTACATGAAATACCAGTGAAGAAAGGTATGTAAGCCATCTCGCCATTTTAAATGAGTGGGGTTTAGCCTAATAGTCGAATATGAAGGTAACACACATAACTACTAATAAAATCCTGAAACGTACAAATCTAGAATGGCAGCAAGCGCACATAATTAAAGCCAGATGACATGCGTCCAAGAGAACGTGTAGGTGGCTGAGGGCCAGTATGACTTAGACGCTCTCTCCTCATCTCCCATAGGATTCCTGTAACTTCTCTCTATGTGGCATTTTCTCTTTGTGCTATGACTATTATATTCACTCTTTATTTAAAAGGAAGTAATCATGGTCAATTTGGTCCTTCACATTGAGCTCTTAAGAAAAAAAAAAAAAAAAGTTAGACATGTATAGCCCTCCCAGGGGAAGTGAGTTCAGTTCCCACTACCCATGTGGACAGCTCACGATTGCCTGTAACTCCAACAGCAGAGGATCCTATGTGCTCTTCTGGCCTCCAAAGGCGGCCCCACACATGCCATATAGTCACATAACATACACACACAGCATAACTAAGAAATAAAAATGAACCTTAAAAGAAAAAAGCTAGAAAAGAGAGCAGGTTGGCAAATGTGCAGTTGTCCCACGTCCCTCCTAAAAAGTTTCCCCCAAAAAAGCCTATCCTGTGGTATCACAGTGGTGTCACTTCACAGACAGCTCTACTGAGTGACATCTGACGACACACTCCCTCAGACAAAGAACTAAACTGTCAGCATTTGTTAGACCATTTCCCTGTGCAGATTGCCCAGCTGTGCAGCAAAAGGAGTTACCAAGCCACAGTGTCTTTGGTCGGATGGCGGGGAACAGCTGAGGGCTGGGTCGCCAGTTGAAATCTCAGCTCTAGAACATCGCTCTTCTACCGTTGAGTAAGAGCTGGGCTGTGGACTTCCTTAGCCCCTCTAGCCTTGAACTTGAAAAATATGCTCTTCCACGTTTATGGCAAAGCTCCCCTTTCACACATAACCAACACAGCAGCATTGGCTCTCAGATTTGAAACTACATAGCTCACACACCATAGGGCACTCCAGCATGCCATTTATGTAATTACTCATACACCCTTTAAGCCTGTTTTTGTTTTCCTTTTTGAGCAGCCCCACTTCTCTATAATTTTTATTTTTCCTTCACAATTTATTATTATATATCCCAATTGAAGCTCCCTCCCTCCCTCTTTCCCCCCATCCCCTTCTCCTAGTCCACTGAAAGGGGGAGTTCTCCATTATTGCCATCTGCCCATAGCTTATTAAGTCTCATCAGGACTGCCTGGATCCTCTTCCTCTGTGACCTGTATCATCAGGAGCGAGTGATCCGAGAGCAGGCAACTGAATTCATGATAGAGGCAGCCCCTGCTCCCCTCAGCCAGAGATCGACATGGAGACTGAGATGCCCATCAGCCACATCTCTGAGCAGGGGTCTAGGTCCTTTCCATGCATGGTCCTCAGTAGGCGCATCAGTCTCTGCAGGACCCCGTGGCCTCAGATCCTTTAGCTTTGTTGTTCTCCTTGTGGGTCTCCTGGCCCCTCCATGTCCCTCTATCCCCACACCTCTCTTCCTCCATTAGAATCCCTGCACTCTGAAGTGGTGGAAGAGAGGAGACAGGATGGGAGCCTACTACAGAGGGTCCTCTGACAGGGGATTGACACCCCCTCACTTTGTAATGCATCTGGGCGGTTTACCTGAATATAAGTCCACAGCAGGTGCATACAGTGCCCTCAGACGCCAGACGAGGGTATCAGATCCCTCAAGACTGGAGTTACAGATAGTCAAGAACTAACTGCCATGTGGGTAGGAGGTATCAAACCCAAGATCTCAGGAAGGGCAGCCAGTGCTCTTAACTGCAGAGGCCCTTGTTTGTCTTCTTTAAAGGATTAAGTCTCAGGCACATGCATGCAATCCCAGCACCTGGGAGGCTGAGGCAGGAGACATGAGTTCAAGATTAAATCTGGGCTACATAGTGAGAAAACTTTCTTAGACGAAGAGAGAGAGATGAGGGATGAGAGAACAGGTGGAGGGGGTCTCCCTAAGTTGCGAAGGCTGGCCTTTAACTCCTGGGTTTTAACAATCCTCCTACCCTATCCTGAACGTGGGTCTACAGGCACATTACCATGCCCTTGCCTGACAGCCACATCATTTAACATTCTCATTGACTGCCAATTGTGTGCATGTATGTACTAATTTTTATTTCTTTCTTCAACAGGTGGAGGTGCTCAGCTATAAACGTGCAAAATACACTAGCCTCTCCAGCTAAAGGTGCTCACAGACAACTGACAACTATAACCCCTACTCTTGCCTGACAAGTTTCTTTTAACCTAATCCACTAACACTTTATTACAGCCAGCTGGTTTTACACAGAGAAATCAAAAATAACACATCAAGACTATCTACAAAAATTTATTTACAGAAAAAGCATGCATAGCTTTAAACAAAACAAATAAAATTCTTATCACAACAGTAAATTTTTGTCGTTTTTTAAAAACAACAATCACAGACACAAGATACTAATATTTATAGTATCTCGCCATGACCGTGTGACAGAATTAAACGCTCATCATCCGAGGTGCGATACTCATGGACATGAGCTCCTGGAACAACAGTTTGCACGCGTAAGGCATTCGCACCAAAGAGATCTGCGGAGAGAAAAGGAATAGTAATCAGCAGAACGGCATCAGACTCCATTCTACCCCAGAAAAGCAGAAACATTTGGCTCTCTCTGAGGAAGTGGGCCACGTGCATGTCCTATGCCTCATGCTGGTTCTCTGTCCCAGCAGCCTTTGGTAATGCCTCCTTTCTGCCAACAAGACGTATCTCACCCTTCCTAACTGACAAATTTTAGGTAAACAGCTTCAGAAAAATTCTTGGTCAAGCTGGAGAGATGACTCAGCAGTTAAGAGCACTGGCTGCTCTTCCAGAGGACCTGGGTTCAAGTCTCAGCACCCACATAGCAGCTCACAACCATCTGTAACCTCAGGGATCTGATGCCCTCCTCTGGCCTCAAGGGACATTGCACACAGTACACAGACATACAGACAGACAAAACACCCATAAGCATATTTTTTTAAATGTTTAGAATTCCTCGTGCAAAGCATTATTTCAGAGATGAACAGCTTGGAGAAATTGCTTTTAAGCTTGCTTTAGAAAAGCCAAACTGTCTTTCCTTATAAAACTAGTATTCTTAGAAACCTGCTATCGAAATGGAAAATCCCAGCCTCAGTGTGGAAAACCCACACTCCGTCAGCTGTGACTACAGCATGAGATCAAACAAACAGAATGAAGTGCGCACACACCTGGGTCTTGTTGCGGCAGCCCCTGCATTCGTAGGTATGGGTCCTGGTGTTAGCAATCGCCATTATTCCACAGAGATTACAAACATGGACCTGATATGGGTCTGATGCCTCGAACAACCTTTCTCTTAAGAACTGTGCTGCACCGTGGGCAATCTGACAATCTCGCTCCATTTCCCCGAAGCGCAGGCCACCATCACTGTGGATAAAGAAACAAGAGCTTGTTGTGTACTTATTTATCGTGTGTGTATATGTGAATGACAGGGTCACTGCACATGTGTGTCGGTCAGAGGACAGAGGCAGGAGTCAGTTCTCTTCGGGAGCTGAACTCACATAGTTGGGCTTAGCAGCAGGCACCTTTCCCCACTCAACAATTTCACTAGCTCTGTACCTAGCCATTCTTATAAACACAGCTGTGCTTAATGACAAGAGTGAAGCACTAAGTTCTGATTTTTATGCCATAGTAATCTCTCTAACCTGGTGAGGAGGGAAAAGTCAACCAACCATTTACTATATCAGAAGGTCTCAAATGAAGTAAATAGCAAACGTGCTCAAGTACAGCATACAGTTTTCCTCATCAAATGCAATGCAATGCAAAGCAGAGACTCGTCATGCTATCATTTTAACTTTCTATTCTGTACTTGAAAGTGAACTTAAAAGTCAATCTAAATGAAACAGCTTCTCAACAAGGGATCCCCAGCAATCGAGCCTGAAATGATAAATAAGCGACAAACACGTGAGAGATTAGTTTCCCCAAGTATAGTGGCATGCCTTCAGATGTCCACATGAGTGTAGGATGACGGCCTCCTTACTTACACGTGCACGTGTGAACTCAAGCACTACCTAGTAAAACCAATGGGCTGATGATGCTATTACTACAAAAGGCTCACTATTCAGTTTTACACAGTGCTACAAAAAGAACTCACTACACTGAGAGTTGGTAAATAGAGGGAGAAAGTGTTCACCCTTCCTCGACTGTAGGAACTACACCACAAGGTAAGGGGCTGAAGGCACAGCCTTAGAAGTGTCTGTCTAGCTAACAGTAGATGGACAGGTGTAAACTAGACTCTCATCAGCTTGTGCTCTAGTTCATCTAACTTTACACAGTGTCCAGCAGCTGCTACCATCATGAAAAGGAAGGCTACTGAATGGTAGAAGTGAACAGTGCCATAAAGTACTACACCCAAACCTCATACTCCAAGTCTCAGCAAGCTCCAAATGTAATTATCTACCTAGAGAAACCAGGATGTAACAAGCCACACACGCACGCACACACGCACACAAGTAAAATGTAAAATTAAAAAAATTTAAAAGAGACTTAAGAGACACAGCAATTGCAAATCTTGCCTTTATTCCCATCCTGACTAACAAAGCTTTTTTTAAAAAATGGTGCAATAAGGCCAGGCATGGTGGAACACACCTTTTATCCTGGCAGACCATCCTGATATAAATATATATATATATCAGAGTTCCAGGACTACATAGAGAGACCCTGTCTCAAAACAAACAAAAAAACAACTAACAAAATTGTAGTAAGACAAATCCGAACTAGGTATTTAGAAATAAATATTTTGGATAGTTTTTTTTTTAATCGTGTATGTGTGAGTGTCCACATGATGTGTATGAGCAATACACATTACTTGGTCTCAAAGGCTAGAAGAGGGAACCATAGTTACAGGGAATCTGAGCCACCACGTGGGTGCTGGAAACAGCTCGGAGCCTTTGGAGGTGTACTAAGCACACTTAACCACTGCGCCTTCTCTCAGCCCCAATTTGTTTTTCAGTGCACTCATCTTTAGGACAGAGGCTCTCAACTTACAGTCTGTAGGTTTCAGGGTGACCAAATGGCTTTTATAGTACAGCATTATTACTTACTTCTGCCACTGTGTTGAGACCTATACTAATTGTGAGAAAGTAAATAAAACTGCTGGTGTCTTGGCACAAATTAAGGCAGAGGAACCAAGTTCTTTTAAGTACTGACACCTTCCCTTGAATGAAGGAAACTGAATTTTGTTTGTTTATTGTTTCAGTTTTGGTTTTTGAGAGACAGGAGTTCTCTGTGTAGCCTTGGCTGTCCTGGACTCACTTTGTTAACAAGGCTGGCCTCAAACTAACAGAGATCCCCCTGTCTCTGCCTCCCAGAGTGCTGGGGTTCCAGGCCTGCAGCCAAAGTGAACCTTTTACTCTAAGGAAAACAGTTTAAGTATGTACTACAAATGATTAAAAGTTTGAGCTTCTAAGCAAAAAATAGAATTTTACAAAATTACCTACCACTTCACACCTCACAGCTACCTATACTTAAAGGTTTTTCTAAAGACATCAGTAGTGATAGGTTAACAAGCACAGGGTTTTTTTCCTTTGTCTGGAATAGAATTTAACTTTAGAAAATATGTATAATTCAGTTACTCGGTATTTCCCAAATGATCAATGATGATGCTATAAAATTGCATGTGGCACACAATTTGGAGGAGGCGGCAGGGGTTGAACTAGAACCTTGCACATCAGCCAAGCACTATTAAGCTGCAACCCCAGCCAATGCTTTTAATAAAATAGATATAAAAATTCACTGATAAGGCTTCGGATTTTTCATTACAACTCCCCTTTAATACACTGAACTTGGTGGAGCTGGAGAGATGACGGCTCAATAATTAGAAGCATATGCTGCTCTGGCAGAGGGCCTGGACTCAGTGCCCTGTATTCACTCGAAGCCCAGACCTGTTTGTAACGTGAGTTCCAGAGGATCCAACACCCTCTTCTGGCCTCTGCTATCACCAGGCATGCAGACAGCTAACATACATACATACAGGCAAAACTCTCATACACATTTAAAGGAAAGAAAGAGAGAGGCTGTAAATTAGCAGATGTGTTCCTCATGCCAATATTCATACTATTTGGGAGGCTATGGCAAAACTGCCATAACTTGCAGGCCATTCTAAACTACAGAATCAATCAATCAATCAATCAATCAATCAATCTCTCATCTCCTCTCTCTCGATCTTTCTCTCTCTGGAGGCTGAGCTAGGAGAGGCATGAATTCCACTAGCTCAAAAATAAGGAAAAAAAAAAAGTTTTAAACAAAGACTAAAGTAGCTCTTCCTTTTAGTACAGTATAAAGAAAAACAATGTTCCTTTCCCAACCAAAGAGCTATCTATGTAACACCAGATCCCCCTCAAATACTTATAGTACAAAAAGTACAACACTGGGCCAGCATGGCTCATTGGGTGAGAGTACTTGCTGCCAAGCCTAAGGACCTCAATTCAAATCCCAGGACCCACGTGATAAATGGAGAAAACCAAATTCCTACATGCTGTTTTCAGACCTCGCTTTCAGACCATGGCTTACCCACAAATGTAACAAAATATTTTCCTTAAATACAATATCGAGCTTGAGTGGTGGCACACACCTATATTCCCAAGAGTTTGGAGGTGGAGGCAAGAAGACCAGGCTATGTAACAGAGTTTGAGTCCAGCCTGTGCCATTATGAGACTCCATGGAAAGAAAGAGATGGGGTGGGAGAAACATGGTGGGAGGTGGGCAAAGGGAAGAGGGAGGGAAAGGCAAAATATTGCAATGGAATTAATCCATAAGTAGAAGAATTCAGCTGCCTAGTTCACTACAGAAGTTTGCAAAAAAATAGAAGCCAATGTCACTCATCGCTAAGCTTACTTAGAAATATGTGGCTTTTTCATTAAACATGTACTGACGGGTAATGATTTTGCCACTGTTTTAAATTTCAGTCTTATCTCTACGGTAACGAAAGATATAACTCACATGAAGACAGTGGCCCTGAGATCAAAGATTCACCAGCCATCTTACACAGCTACATCTAAAGTTTACAGAGGAAACTATGACGACTGCACCTGCTGAGCAGAGCAGAGGTAAGCTGGGCTCTGGCTCACTGGTAGAGCGTTTGCCCTGACTCTAAAGGAATCATGACATCAGAGGCTAGTGTGAGGAATGAGGAAGGAGCACGCAATAGGAGGACACTGTGAGTTGGTAACTTGTGAAAGTGAGGTGACAGGAACACAGCCAATCTTTAGACCAGTCTCTAGTCTATGTGCTTAACATTTTCAAGTGGAAGGCTAGCTAAATATAATACATGAATACATGCTGCTCCTGCTGCAGCAGCAACCTTACCGAGATCTGCCCTCCATGGGCTGTCTATTAAGGATCT